TTACTCTGTCACCCAAGCTGGAATGCAGTGGCATGATCTTGGCTCACTGCAACCTCTGCCTCCCGGCTTCAAGCGATTCTCCTGCCTCAGCCTTTCATGTAGCAGGGATTACAGATGCCCACCACCATGCCCAACTAATTTTTGTATTTTTGGTAGAGACAGGATTTCACCGTGTTGGCCAGAATGGTCTCTATCTCTTGACCTCATGGTTCACTGTCCTTGGCCTCCCAAAGTGCTGGGATTACAGGCATGTGCCACCACACCTGCCCTACAATTCTTGTTTCCTTTAAGAACCCATTATTTCTTGGGCAGAAGCATTCCTAAGAAATCCTCCCATCTTGCCCCAGCTCGTCAGGTATACATTAAGCATTTGCAACCTCATCTGTCACAACTGTGTCTGTAAACATACTATTTCCTTGGATGACCTGAGACAAGGCCAGGATTGTCTAGATTTTATACAGGAATGAACAGCTAGACCATTTCATTTATCTCGAGGTTTTATACTTTTAAAATCACAAATGTCAAGCAAGGTTGAGGAACTATGGTGACATTCTGTTTTCACTCTTATTGTTAAAGCATCTGGTGTAAGGCATGTTCTTCTATCGTGTTTTAGAGTTTATTTGGATGGCTTTCACACTCAGAGTGCCTGGGGTGAGTGATGAACAACAACAGTAGAGTAGTTCCAGGTCCCTAATCAGAGTGGATCACAGCAGCTGACACTCAGCAGCCAGGCCCGTTGTGCTGCTTAGAGTTTGTGCTCAGCTCCCCCTGCAGTCCCTGTCACTGTGTCACTCAGAGCACAGAAGTACACAGCTGAGTCTGATTCTCGAACTGAGCCTTTCTCCAAGTGGAAAGAAGTGGTTTCTGTACGGTACATGGCTTCAAAATCTTTGTTGCTTCTTCCCTTGTCATTGCCCTTCGTGGCTTTCAGGAGGAGCTCTGGACCTTTTCCAGGATATTGGACATACCAGAAAAGGGAAGGGTACCCTGTGGATTCATAGGAGCAGTTCACAGTCAGGGAATCCCCTTCAGAGAGGAGCACTTCACCTTCTGTCTGGACCACTGAATCTCCATTGATTCCCCCTGAAAAAAAAAAAAAAAAAAAAACTTGATATAAGGTAACTTATACCAAGTTACCTTAGATGTGATCTGAGCTCTACCCCTCAGAGAAAACTGTGATTAAAGATTAAATCAACACAATGGAACAAAAGATTCTAAGTTGTAAGCGCCATTTTACTTACCAAACATTAAGAACAGTGCAAGCGCTGGTCCTGGAGAAGAGTTCATTTTTAGACCCCCTGGTGTCCTTGGGTGTTGACTTCTTAGTGTGAGGAAAGGTTAAGCTCACACTGAAGGGATGAGTGTGAGCAGGAAATGTCAACGTGTTAGGAAAATGCACCCCCTTGTGGGCAAGATACTAAATTCAGAGGACTGTTGATCTGTTCTCCCAAAAGTCAATCCTGTATTTTCACTTCTGGCTTTTTTTTTTCTAAGACACCTGTTAGCTGTCTAATGGTTCCTTGCATATCTAAAGGATAGTTGGTCTTTTTTATAACCCTATTTTTTTTACAGCAAACTGTCTGACTTGAAAGCTCTTTTCATGCCATGACATTTCTGAGAATAATTCATTTTACTTTTTCTAATTTATCTATCTTTGCCCATCCCATGATCCACTAAAATATCATATAAGCAAGTTTTTAGGATAAAACTAAAGGAATGTCAGTAACACATGTTTAATCATTAGTATATTATTTGAGATGGCAGAGACTTAAGCTTTTTTCACTGCTGTATTCCCATACCTAGTACAATATCAGACACTCGGCAGGTGGTTAGAAAACACTTCTTAAACACACAAATGCATAAATAAATGAATGGCCTTTGGTTGAGGAATTGCTACTACTTGAAATATCATATTGCTTCACATTTAAGACATCAATAACAGAAATGCAATTAATAATTTTTTTCAAAGAAAAAGGGAAATTTTATTATGTATATTATTAAAAAGTAAAGAATATATAACTCTTAGTAATGAAAAAATACAGTAATTAAAGTCATTGAATCCTTATAAAATTATCTGGCATCACTTTCTTCTCCTGTAAGAGAAGAAATGATTCCCAGATAATGTGACTGGCCTATGTGCATCAGGCAAAATATTGTGATATTAAACTTTTAATGGAAATTTACCCTTCATTATAAACCCTCTAGATAAGTTCATCCACCAATACTATTGACCTATAGTTATATTTACCACAGGATAAGATACTTAAATCGTTTGGATTTGCCTCAAAAGACCAGAGAATAAGCTCAATCTCAGCTTCTAGAATTGGCACAGACATGTCTGCTGATGTATAAAACCATAGCAAGAATATCACTCCTCTGCATGTCAGAGTTAGTTGGTGATCATCTTAAAAATATGGATTTGGAGATGTAGCCATTGTTATTCAAATTTACAAAATAATCTTTGGGAACACTGACCTAAGCAGACAGACAAGATATCGGTGAAGCGCTTCTGGGATCCACATGAGAAAAACCTCCAATCCTCACAGATTCTCCTTTCATGGTAGTACTGAAGTCACAGTAGCTAAAACAAATGCTCTTTACTCTCACTATTCTTGTTCATTCAACTTATAATAAAAATCTCTCGATGTTCTCAGGGCAAACTTGGTGAGAAGGATGCTGTTTTTCTGTCAGCCCCACTAACATTTATCTTTGACTGTGGAAGCCTTCCATTGTGCTCCCTGAAGCATTCACTCTCCATGAATTTAGAGACACCAGCTACATGGTGCTGCAGCAAGGTATAAATATTAATAAACTCTAAACTTGGGAAGAAAATTCTGATCTGGACATTATTTGGGTCTATACAAAGGCTTTCCTCCTTTTCCCTCTTATCCTGTGTCAAATCTCAGGGATCAAGCTGTGTCTTCTTCCTTTTCCTGGTTCTTTTGGCCCATTCATCTAATCGACTCTACCTGAAGTCTAAGAAGAAATATGCAGTGAGCAGTTTCACTGTCCCTAACTTTCTTTACTTTTTCCAAGCAAGCCTTTTCCTTCGTATTGTAACAACCCTCCATTCTTTTGAGGAAATCTATTTTCTGCACCATGTGTATTAGTTCATTCTTGCATTGCTATAAAGAGATACCTGAAACTGGGTAATTTATAAAGACAGGAGGTTTAATTGGCTCACTGTGCTGCAGGCTGTATAGGAAGCATAGGGACTTCTGCTTCTGGGAGCCTCAGGAAGCTTCCAATCATTGTGAAAGGCAAAGCTGAAGCATGGCATCTTACATGGCAGAAACAGGAGCAATAAAGAGAGGGTGGGAAAGTGCCACATACTTTTAAACTACCAGATCTTGCAAGAACTCACTATTTCAAGAACAGTAGCGAGAGAATGATGCTAAACCATTCATGAAAGATCCACCTCAGTGACCCAACCCCCTCCCACCAGGCCCCACCGCCAACACTGGGGATTACAATTGAACATGAGATTTGGGTGGGGACACAGGCCCAAGCCATATCACCATGATTTCATAAGGAGATGAATGTCATAGAGGAACTGTAGCAGATTTGAGTGAAATGCAGTAGAACTGTGTAATCAGTGAAAAAGAAAATGCGTAAGCTAATTCCCGACTAATAATAGATTTATTTGAATGGTCTGACTTCAAGCCTCAGAAGATCTGCTTCAGGTACTTGAATTTATACAGATGTGTTGTCAGTCAAGAGTCAGTCTGGCAAACAGAAATGCTGGGCGAGGTGTCAGAGCCACAACAACAGGAAATGATTGGGTTAAAGTAATAAGAAGAATTTATCCATAACAGTATGGGTTTGAAGAGAAAGTTTTATTAGAAACAATGCTGTAGAGGAGTGCAGCGGGGTGCTTCGGCAAGAGGGGACTGAGCAAGCCACGGTGGATTTTTCCTTAGGGCCATTTATGAACAAGAGTTTAAGGGTAATTTGGACCATGTTAGCCACCAGGGTTGTGATAAATGGTTACATCTGTAGACATTTTGGTGCCCTGATGTCAGCAAGGGCTGCACAGTAAGTTTCAACATACATGCATTCCAAAGATATATAGGAATTCTGATTACTTATACATTTTGGGGAAAGAAGCCTGGTACCACATGCCTGCATTTGATAATGGGGATGTTGATTAATAATTACTTCTGAATTTCTCAGATAAGGATTTTTGCCTCTGGATGGTCTGCTTGATGGCCACCAGGTGATCTTTGCTCTCCTCATAAAACAAATCCAAAAATTTTCAGTAGAAAGACATTTAGAGTTCAGGCAGACAATGTGGTGAGAAGCAGCACACTGCGGGGCAGGTAAGCTGGGGCCTTGGGAACCTCTTTCCCTCCCCACCTCAGTGAGCTGATGGGCAGCAGCATCTCTGAGCCCAGACCTCACTGGTCTATGAAGCAGTTTAGAATATCTAGAAATCCTGCTAACCTCTGCATAGCCCTCACTGAGCTGCGAAGGACACTGTGCCTTTGGGAGGAAATGGATGTTGCAGGGGGAGAAAAATGGCAGCTGCCAGAAGGCGCTGAGGGCTGCAGTAGTTTGGTGAACCCAAGAAGGTGGGTCTAGAGAAACAAGCTCAGGAACTTCATTATGCCATGGAGTTGCACAGATGCAGGTCCCAGGCTGACCACTTTGTCCCAGTTAGACAAGAACTTACCTCCTCCCAAAAACACCAGAAATGATGGACAAAGGCCTTAATGAACCTGAATGGTGAGCAGAGCCCCTACAAGGACAGGTGAAGTGGTTATCAGGCCATTGGGTGGTTGCTGTTTGTTCTACCAACTTTGATATCCAAAGAGAGAAATCGCATGCCACATTTGGCGGATTGGAAATGCCTACCACCCTTTGGGAGGATTTACCAATCTTTATAGAAGGCCCATGTAAATAATATGAAAAAGCTACTTTTGACTTTTCCCTCAACCTTTTAAAAGAAAATTTTGCTCCACCTAGCCCTTCTAGATTTAAAGAGGTTACTGATGTATAATACAGTTAGAAAATCACGCATCTTATATATGCCCATTTGTTGTTTAAAAAAAATCATAGAAACACCTTCTGAAAATGACCCTTTGAAATGAAAGTTGTTAGACCAGCTCTAAAAGTGACCCCAGGAGCAACACACCTTCATGTTCATTCAGTGGGTTAGAGGCCATGGAGCAGAAAGCAGTGAGAATGAGGAGAAGGTTCCCTTCAAGACTCGTTACATTAGGAGACATTTTCATATTATAACCACTGTTTTATGTGTGCATTTCATTCTTCCCTACTATGTATATATTGTTGACAATGCTGAGAATTTTTTTGAAATATCTTCCCTTTCTTTTTATTTTATTTTATTTATTTATTTATTTTTTGAGATGGAGTCTCGCTCTTGTCGCCCAGGCTGGAGTGCAATGGTGCCATCTCAGCTCCCTGCAACCTCTGTCTCCCAGGTTCAAGCAATTCTCCTACCGCAGCCTCCCGAGTAACTGGAATTACAGGCTCCTGCCACCACACCCAGCTAATTTTTTTGTAATTTTAGTAGAGACAGGGTTTCACCATGTTGGCCAGGCTGATCTCGAACTCCTGATCACAGGTGATCTGCCCACCTTGGCCTCCCAAAGTGCTGGATTACAACTGTGAGCCACCCTGTCTATTTTGTCTTCCTTGGTGTTCTAAAGTGCCTGGCCTATCTTGTCTTTCTTTGGGATTTTGAATTCGTAAATACTCATGATGTATAAAAAAGCATCATACATACTGTATGATCTCAATCACACATAAAACTGGGTGTTGTCTGTATACATAGGCAGGACCCAAAAGGACACATCAAACTATAAGCTGCTTGTAATTGTGAATGACTTTATTCTTTGCTTCTTGTGTTTTTCAGCTTTCTATAATGTACATATTAACTTTTTTTTTTTTTTTTTGAGACGGAGTTTCACTCTTGTTACCCAGGCTGGAGTGCAATGGCGCGATCTCGGCTCACCGCAACCTCCGCCTCCTGGGTTCAGGCAATTCTCCTGCCTCAGCCTCCTGAGTAGCTGGGATTACAGGCATGCACCACCATGCCCAGCTAATTTTTTGTATTTTTAGTAGAGACGGGTTTCACCATGTTGACCAGGATGGTCTCAATCTCTTGACCTCGTGATCCACCCGCCTCGGCCTCCCAAAGTGCTGGGATTACAGGCTTGAGCCACCGCACCCGGCCCACATATTAACTTTTTAAAATAAAAGTTATTTTTAAAATTCTTTTTAAAAGTAAGATTTAATACAGGAAATTAGACATACAACCACTGAAAGGGCTAATGAAGCAAAGATCAGAAAGACTGATCACAGGAAATTTTAAGGTATGATGCATCATCCAACTGCCTCTGACACCAAAATGAGTGATTCTTAGGAAGAAACCCAGAAGTCAAAGTCCTCACAGCTGGTAATCTGAGCTGCCTGCACACAGCCCCTACAGAAGAAGAATGGTTTCTCTTTCTTTTCTACTTGCCCAGTATTATTCCCAAATTCCTCTCATTTGTAGAATTAAAACTAAATGAATGAAAAGAATTGTGTGAATTGTTGTTTGGGTTTCTTCCCTAGCAAAACAAGGGAGTATATTAAAGGGCACAAGAAAGGAGCCCAGTTGACAATGTATAACACAGCACTCCGGTGAACTAAGCAGCACACCAGTGAACTTGGCTCTTGGTTTCCTATGCTGGATTATTCTATTGTTGATGTGGCTACACTGGAAAATACAGTGCCCAGAATCCCCTTTTGTGTGTGTGTGATTCTGAATACAAAAGTGCATCTGCACAAGATTTGAAAGGCAGATGGGAAGCAGCAGCCATTATCTTCCGAGATCACCATTGATTACAGATGGTGAAAGACACGGTGGTCTTGGCTGGTTCCATTTTGTTCTTCCCTGATGGCACCTGACAAAAAATAACCAGCTCCACAGCACATAAAATTACCATTATCACAGTAGTTCTCAAATGCTAAGCATATTGCATAAGCTACTGCAACAACTTACACATGAACCCCCTGCCAATTCACCACAAGTAATTAATAATTTTGATGCTATGATCTTTCTGTACTTATCACTACCACACCTACTTCTAATAATGGGATCCTTGTTCCCTTCTGGCCATGAATAACTTAATTCCAAAATCTCTTTCTATGTATTTGCTCTCTATGACCACTTCTGTACCAAATCTCTTACACCGGGTTCTTCCAGAAGCAAATCTTGAAAAAATGATTATAAGTAGTTTATTTGGGAAATGCAGGAAATGCAGATAGAGAAGGCAGGATGTTATATAAGAAATGCAAGTGTTTGCAAGGGTGTGAATAAACAGGAGTTCCTCTACCCTGCTAATGAGAGCAAAATTTGGTAAGAATATTTCAAGAGCAATTTGACAATTGCAAGTAAATTTTTGAGATGTGAATCACTTCCAGGTGTATAACATAAAACATTCTATATTTATATATAAGGAAACATAATCGTATTCCGTGTAGAATTTTATAATAAAAATTAGAAACATTCATTGAATAACGGATTAACAAAATCCTTTCTCTTTCTACATAAAAAACATAAAAAAAAATAACTTTTTAATCTCTGTTTCTCTGGAAATCCAATAAAAGTAAAATGTCAGCTATATTACCAAGTAAGACTGTTATGGTAAAAATGATCCTGATTGATAAACTGCATCTGGACTGTAAATGGACTGTGAATACTTTTTAAGATGTCATAGTTTTGGAGCAGTGACTTTTATAATTGTTACAGGAGATACTGGTTTCCATTTGGGACATGGGGTTTCTAAGTCTGGATGACCTGCTCGGTCTTATTCCCTCACACCTTAGCTCTTGATGTGGGAGGAGGGGAGGGAGGCATTGCAAAAACAATAATCTGTGAACTGTATAGACAGCTGAAAGGACTCCCCTTGAAAACACTTAGGGTGTGAAGGAAACCAATACCTATGTGGCCTATTGAGCTTTGTAAACTTGATTGTCTAACTAAGCCTAAGTCTATCACAGCTGATGGCATTGCACAATCCAATATGCATGAAAAGGGACATATAATATATTCATGAAATGGAGTACTGTATATCAGCTAAAAGCAATGAAATATATCTACATGTATAAATTTTTCTATATCTCAAAAATATCTTAGAAAAGAAATCAAGTTTCACCATTACACATACAATTGGATTGTATTCACATAATTTTAAAAATACAAAACATGGCATCACACATTGTTTAAAAATATCTATGTATTAGAAATAAAAAAACATGGACTTGAGAAAAAGTTCATAATGGGTTTGAGAGAGGGATTAAGGTATTAAAACTGAGGAGAAAAATAAGAGAGATGGCAATTTTATTTGTAATGTTTTATTTATTTTTTAAAATTTGAAACTTTACATTTATGTGTATTTATTAATATCAAGAGATAGAAATAATATAATATTGTTTTAAAATGTTACAATCTGCTTATATGGCAAATATACTTATGTTAGAAATTAAATATTTCTGGTTTCTACTTTATATATATATGTATTATATAAAGTTCTTTACATTTATAAAATCATATAAATAAAACTACTCTGACATCTCAGACAGGGTTGTTGGTGTGAGAATGGAAAATGCATTTCCAGGTGCTTGAGGTTCTTGGTGCCAGCAGTTACATTTCCTCAGTACCATGCTCCAGTTTGGAATTGAAAGACATTACCATTTCTCGCTCTCATATGTAGTGTATAAAGCACCCACTGCAGTCATTCTGGAACACAGGACTGCGTTGTGTTTTTAAGTCTTACAAAGATCATCAGCCTCTCAGAGACAGTAGAGAATATAACCTGAAGAACAAGACATTAAATAAGTATATATTTCTTATAAATAATTTTATATATCTTACTTCACTTCCAGAAATCCTCCAAATGTATATACCACAAATGGCCATATCAATGTAACTTGAAAAAATAATGTCGATCCCTAATGGCATCCCCTTTGGCTTAGGTAAATAATTGGAAATAATCCGCTATTATTATCTATATCTTCAAATTCCTATTCCTCTTACTCATGACAGCATCAGGAGGTACACAACAAAAAAGCCCAACCCTGCTCCTCTTCCTCCTTCTCTTTGCCTTTCTTCAAGTCATTATTAACCTTGAAGGCTTCAATTAAGAAAATTAAAAAGTGTTTATGTATTTTTTTCTTCCTAGCCAGGGGAAGTCATACATCTATCACATGCCCTTCACCTTTTTATTCCCATTACCATACTTAATTAAAATATCTTCAGGGGCCAGACATTGATAAATCTTGCACATAATTATAGCAATGTTAAACAGATAAAAATTCATTTCTAATATTCCAACTGTTAAACCATATGAAACTGGAAAAAGAGTTTAAAAAAATAAAGTAACAACATCATTTGGCAGAATTGGCAAAAGTTACTATTTCACCAGTTTTGAAGATTTATAATGTGGATTTGCAGAATTTAAGATATCAAAAGAATAAGAACTGGTATTTAAAGTAGAAAAAACAAAAAATAAAGGGTATTTGGAAAGTAGACCTAGCATTTTCTTCCTCCTTAATAGTCCTTTACAAACTACTAAAGAATTTCAGTTATTCACTCTCCCTTCTTCAACATTCCTGACAAAGTTACTAGACGCTACAAGAGCACACCATTGTTCTAAGCCATTCAGCATCCTAATAAATCTCCTCCCTCCTAAATGAAGCACTTAAAAAGGAAAGAAAATACTCAGCACAGCATAGAATCAGGAAAAAGATTCCAGGAAAACTACCTTAAAATTATCAAGTTGAAAGGGTAATTAAGTATGCAAGAAGATATGCTCACAAAAGAAGTCCACCTTTTGTTCCAGTTATTGAAAGACAAAATGGTGAATGAAAAGCAAAACTCTGTGCCATGTCACAATTTCCATATTCAACCATTTAAAGTATAACAGCTTCACACTCACCCAGCAAATCCCTGAGCACCTCCATACTGTCGAATAAGAACTTCATGGCTTCACAAAAAGAATGAGATTCTATCATTTGTAATATATAAAGCAAAAACAAAATTATCAGGTCTCCAACCATCTGAATGGACATCTCTCAGCCAAGGGCATGCCAATGTTAACCTGAAAAACTAGTTTGGGCCACGATGGGAAGGGGGGACATGCCTCATATACCCTCCTCCCTTTTGAATTTCCCTTTGGGAATTCAAGAAAAGCTAACTGTCATTAACATCAACATGCACTTTAAGTCTGATAAGAAACATTTACTATCTATTCTCTCTGAAGCCTGCTACCTGGAGCTTCATCTGCATGATAAAACTTTGGTCTCCACAACCTCTGATCATAGCCCAGACATTGCTTTCTATTGATAATAAACAACTGCCAATCAGAAAATTTTTAAGTTCTGCCTGTGATCTGAAAGCTCGCCTTCAAGTTGTACCGCCCTTCCAGATCTAACCACTGTAAATCTTACATGTATTGATTGCTGTATTATGTTTCCCTAAACTGTATAAAAGCAAGCTGTACCCCAACCACCTTGGGCACATGTCATCAGGACTTCCTGAGGCTGTGTCATGGGTGCATCTTTAACTTTGGCAAATAAACCTTCTTAATTGATTGAGACTTGTCTCAGATACTTTTAGGGTCACAGCAGCAAGATGAATGGAACTGGAGGTCATTATGCTAAGTGAAATAAGCCAGGCTCCGAAAGATAAACATTACATGTTCACATACTTATCTGTGGGATTTAAAAATCAAAACAATCAAACTCATGGAGATACAGAATAGAAGACAAGGATGGTTTCTAGAGGCTGGGAACAATATTGGGAGGGTGGGGGAGAAGAGGGATGTTTAATGGGTACAAAAAAATAGAAAGAATGAATAAGACCTGGTATTTGATAGCACAACAGGGTAACTATAGTCAATAACAATTTAATTGTACATTTTTAAATAACTAAGATAGTATAATTGGATTGTTTGTAACACAAAGGATAAATGCTTCAGGGGATGGGTATCCCATTTATGTGATGTAATTGTTATGCATTGCATGCCTGTATCAAAATATCTCATGTACCCTATAAACATATACATCTACTATGTAGCCATAAAAATTAAAAATAAATTTTTTTAAAAAGCATCATGGTTTCTACTGTGTCAGAATCCAAAATCTTTCAGAGGCAGTTATTCCCCCTAGCACCTTACAAAGTTTGTGTTCAGCTCCCTTTGCAGTCCCAGATACTGTGGCTTTCACAGCACAGAAGTACTCAGCCGTGTCACTCCACTGCACAGAGGGTTTCCTCAGGTTAAAGGAAGATCTACTCTTCATAAATTCAGCCTCAAAGCCTTTGATGCCTTTAACCAGTGTGTCCCCTGAATAGTACTTGAGGAGAAGCTGAAGGTCTTGACCAGGGTTCTGGACATACCAGAAGAGATAAACAATTCCACCATAGGAATAGTTGCATCTCAACTCCAGTGAAGCCCCTTCAGAGAGAATTACATGGTAGTCAGGCTGGCTCACAGACTGGCCTCTGGCATCTCCTGAAAAAATCAATGTTATATCAATGAGAACAGTGCAGACTTGTCTATGAAAGGTTTTTCTGCTAAGATATGAACCAGAAAACAGTTACTTCTGTGGAACTAGAGACCATAATAGAAGGTTACTCACTCAGGGCAAAAATCATCCCCAGAACTGGAATGAGCAACGGGAGCATGGCTGAGCTATGGAAACACTGCAGGCATCTCATTGGAAATTCTCCTTGGAGCAAGGAAGAAAGTGGCTGGAACCCAGGTCTTGGGAATAGCGAGTATGAGGAAGGTTGGGCTAGGCAAGTCTCTTGTTTTGGTAAAAATACAAAAACTGCTGAGATAATCCTGATTGGTTTTCAATCTTTGATTCTCTTCGCTTGCCCCATCTTCAAAGAACTCCAATGAGGCGCTTCAGTAAGCCAGCTGCAGGAAGAAGGGGCTGAGCAGAAAGTGTTGATCATCAAGGGAAACAGGCATCTGTCCCTTGTGCAACATCACCCTCTGGAGGCCAGATACAGGACCGAGGATACAGAAGCGAACCTGTGCTTTCCTTGTTTGGAGACATGTCAAAAACTTCCAGTGAACGTTTCTTTCTTCCCTGATCAGTGCTATGTTGCCCTCTGTAGTATATTACATTAATCCTAGCCTCAATGAAAAGTGAGGACTCTAAAAGAGAGGAAGAATTTACAGAGAAAAAGATCACACACTAAATCTAGCAAACTTTGGAGTCCCTCAGTACCTTTGTGTAAAAGCAGTGGAGACATTCTTCAAGCAAAGACAGTCGGATCAACCCTTCTGGCTGAGCTTTAAATGGCCTTGTTGCAGTGAGCATCAGATTGAGAGGAGGCTGTGGTAGGATATGGAGATATCTGCTTCGGTAAAATTAAAAATAAGATCAGATGTACAAAATAAAAGCCTAGAACATAAGCCTTCATCTAGGAAAAGAAAGTAGGATTATCTTTGTCTTCTTCAAGCAGAATTACAAAGATACAGTAGCTTTAGATCAAAAAAAAATTATAGTATGATATTCAGATAAGAAAGTAAAATAACATTGCCATTTGCTCGGAATATAACCAGAGTATTACACCCAATTCTGAGTACTACATTATCAAGACAACATTCGTAGACTTTATTATCTACAGAAAAAACTGAGAGGATTGATGAAAGCATTGCAAAATAAAACATAAATAATTCCTGAAGGAACTAAGGACAGAGTAAAAATACATTTGCATTTACCCTGGAATCCAAGAAGGAGTACCACCAGCAGACCAGAGCTAAGAAAAACATCTAAAAGGAAAAAAGATGTGAGCTGTTTGATCATGAAATCTGACATAGATAGGCAACCAATAGTTTTACATGAATGAGTCGCGTCTTGTAAAACAAGGTAGTGTTGATTATGGCAATAGCAAGGCTGTTCTTCTGAAAAAAGCCTTTTCTTCCCACCCACTTCAGCTTGTAGACCCTAGGGCTAAAAGAGTAACTATCATACCAGCAGATCAATTTCAGGGAAAATGAGAAGAGAGAAACAAGCTGCCTTTCCTCAGGGCGATAGGGACCTTTTTCTAAAGTTAGAAAGCCTCTTTTCTGGGACTGTGATTGTTTCTAGCAACAGAAAATCAAATCTGTTCTCGGGATCCTCATTGTCCTGCTTCTTTTTGCCTGTAGCTTTTCTCTCACTTATAAGAAGTGCATGAATAATGCTTCTAATTCAGATGACCATACCGATCTTTCCAAAATTCTCACTGATAAAAGGATAGAAATGTAAAGGGGATGATGATTTAGCTACAGAAGTGAAAATCACAGAAAACAACACAACTGTGAGAGACTATAATGTAAATTGTAATGAGTAACCCTTCAATCTGGCATTGGTGCACTGGTGGAGAGTGGGGAGGAGGTTTGAGGGATTCAAGAGTGAGGAGGTTGAAAATGGCATCAAACCTTATTCACATATTCTAAATAAACAGCTGCAAATTGACATATGGTTGCTAAAACAAATTATCACGAACTTGATGTCTTAACAATACAAACTTACTTTTACAGCTCTGCAGGCTAGAAATTCAACATGAGTCTCATTGGGTTAAAATCAAGAATTCAGCAATATACCTTTCTAACTGCTCTAGGAGTGAATCTGTTTTCCAACTTCTAAAGGCTGCGCACATTCCTTAGTTTGCAGCCCCTCCCTCCATCTTCAAAGCCAGCAATGTTTCATCTCTTTGATCGTTCAACTATAGTTCACATCTCCCTCTGACCACAGCAGGGAATGTTTCTCCAATTTTAAAAACCCGTGTGATTAGATTGAGTCCACCTGGATGGATGATGATATAGGCTAATATTTCTATCTCAAGGTCCTTAACTAAATCACATCTTCAAGGAAACCTATTAGAAAACAGACCTACATAAACAATGACACAGGAAATACCTGTAGTTGTATAGTCCTTTCTTCTTATAATATAAAGGGAAGATTAGTCCTCAGTATAAGGCAAGAAATATAATCAAGAAAAGAATCAGAAAGCCTGATGCAAAGGGAAACAAAATTCTAAGAATAAAAGAGAATGTTCAATAATATCTAGTTTAATATATCCTTAAAAAATCAACAACAAAAAATTCAACAACCAGAAAGCACTCTTTAAAAACTAAAATGCTGTTGCCAAAACTTTATAAAAATCAGCCGATGGTTTGAAAATCAAAACTGAGAAAATCTCTCAGGACACAGAAGAAAAAGACAGAGTCAAAAATGCACTGAAATATATTACTACATAGAAAATCAATCTTGGAGATAAAACAAGCAAATAATATTTGTCCTAGAAAAAAAGAAACAGAAGAGAGAGATTTACTAAAGAAGTGATAGAACAAATTTTCCCACAACTGAAGGACATCGTATATTTAGATGAAAATAGCCCACAAACTGTGACTATCACTGAATTTAAAAGACTTACACTGAAATATATTCCAGCAAAACTATAATACCAAGGATAAGGGGGAAAATCCTAGATGAGTATGGAGAGAAAAGTAACAGAATCACTAATTGAGGTAGAAAGAGTCACACTGGAATTAGATTTCTAATCAGCATCAACAACTCTTAGAAGATTCTGATGAAAAATTATTTGGAAAACTAGAATTTTAAACTGAGTTGAACACGGGAGCTGATGGACTTAACACTAGGAATATAGAATTTCACTTATTCCCCCTGTTTTCTCTATGGCACTTCACTTCATCCTCAGATGTCTCTAGTAGTCTCTAATCCAGAAACTGTATAGTTCAAAATAACCAGATTCAACCTTTAATCTTCTACCAGATGTGAGGTAGCTTGCAGCCTGTAGTACAGGGTGGCAATGGACATAGGAGGGTTACACTGGGTTCCATCTGCTCCTTCTTGAGGCTAGTCTTTCAATTAATTCTTATTTCTTTCCCATCTACCCTCTACACCTGATACTTTTTTCCCCATCAAAATTGATGCTTCTAATTCATGAGCATTTCCAGAATGCTGCAGAACGCAGAGGACTGCCTCCTCTCAGCTTTCCCCTCTATAGGCACAGGTTTTTTCTCTCGGTTAAACTAGTTTGTCACATTTCCATTTGATTTCAACACATTCAACGTCATCTTGTTCTCTCTTGTGCTGTCACCATCTTTTCGGTTCACTTTGTGCTTGTGTGTTTATACAGGTTTTGAACTTCTTTATTAGCATTTCAGTAGGGCCTCAGGAGGGAGCAGAGAATAAACATGAATATTTAATCAAGCACGTTCAACCAAAAATCTGGAACTTTTTAAAATTGTACACTATTTTTCTCTCTTTCAAGTTTTGCATTTACCATGTACATGTGATTTTTTTATTGCATTTTAGGTTTTGGGGTACATGTGAAGAACATGCAAGATTGTTGCATAGGTACATACATGGCAGTGTGGTTTGCTGCCTTCCTCCCCATCACCTATATCTGGCATTTCTCCCCATGTTATTCCTCCCCAACTCCCCACCCCCCGCTGTCCCTCCCCTATTTACCCCCCCCCGACCCCAGTGTGTGATGCTCTCCTCCCTGTGTCCATGTGTTCTCATTGTTCAACACCTGCCTATGAGTGAGAACATACGGTGTTTCCAAATTATCTCCCTGTCAAGTTTGCTATTCCTATAATTTCCTAATAGGTTTTTAAAGTTATTTGCTTTCACTTTTGTGAATACCAGTAGGTTTAAACATTTCTCATAAGTTTGTGAACCATGTTGCTTTTCCTTGTATAAGTTGTCTCATTGTATTTTCTGTATATGTATCTCTTTATTACTGTTTTACTTTTTTTTTTTTTTTTTTCTGAGAGAGGGTCTGGCCCTATTGCCTAGGCTGGAGTGCAGTGGCCCCATCTTGGCTCACTGCAACCTCCACCTCCTAGGCTCAAGGCATCCTCCCACCTCAGTCTCATGAGTAGCTAAGACTACAGGTGCAGCCACCACACCTGGCTAATTTTTGTATTTTTTATAGAGATGGAGTCTTTTTTTTTTTTTTTTAGATGGAGCCTTACTATGTTGCCCAAGCTGGTCTCGAATTCCTGAGCTAAAGCGACCCGCCCTCCTAGGCCTCCCAAAGTGCTGAGACTAAAGATGTGAGCCACTGCACCCCGCCCTATTTTACTTTTTATGCACAAAAAATTATTTAGAAAAATTATTAATCTGTTGTCAAATTAGCAGCAAATTTACAACAAGCTGCAGTTTGAATGTAATTTTGGTCATTCTTTTCACAGAATAAATTAGATTTTAATATTTATGCAAACAAACCTTCTAGCCTTTCTCTTAATTTCTTCCATTACTCTAAAGTTTAGTCTTTCAGTTATTTGTTTAATATAGTTATATTTTATATTAACTTTGTGATTTCATTAATTTCTTTGAAATTTACTCCATCATGTGAGATATTTCATTTGTTCTTTCAAGCAATATTTGTTGATTCCCGGTGATTTTGCAACACTTGTTTTCAAATATTTAACTTTGTGCTCCTCAAATTAGAGGACCTGCCCTCAAGACAAAACATGAAATAAATATGATGTCTCATCTGGGAACACCATTGTTACTGAAAAATTAGATAATTTGATGAACTGGTAAATTATTTAAAAGATTATGTTGGCCAAGTGCAGTGGCTCATGCCTGTCATCCCAGCATTTTGGGAGGCCAAGGCAGGCAGATTACCCAAGGTCAGGAGTTCAAGACCAGCCTGGCCAACATGGTGAAACCCCATCTCTACTAAAAATACAAAAATTAGGTGGGCATGATGGTGCATGCCTGTAATCCCAGCTATTTGGGAGGCTGAGGCAGGAGAATCACTTGAACCAGGGAGGCAGAGGTTGCGGTGAGCCAAGATCATGCCATTGCACTCCAGCCTGGGCATCACAGTGAGACTCTGTCAAAAAAATAAAAAAAGATTATGTTGCACTATAATTAATATGAATATATTTTGTAGTAAAATAAAAATTATCAATCAAGTGTTTTTAGAACAAACACAGGACTGTTTGTATTTCTAGCAGACCACAACCACCTGGGACCACCGTGCACCCATCATCCAGATTTCAGGGAGGAAAGGAAAGGGGCCCTGTTCATTCTTCTTGCTCTGTAGGAATGGATCTGCAGAAAGTCTGAGAATCTCTGATTAATTAATACAATTGATACAACACAATTTAAGAAATAATACTATTCTTCTCCATTGATTTAGAAATTCTTTTTTGCCCTATTCAAAATTATTCTTTATTTAAGTCTATTTCTTATTTTTTTCACTCTTTTTACTCACTGTCATTATTATTGGTATTGTTATTGTCTATCTATACTAGCCCAGTAATATTTTTACAGCAGTAACAAATAAGTTGCCATCCATTGTGACAGCTGTCCCTTTCATTGTTCCTCTTTGTCAAAAAAATAATCATCGTCATTCATTCATTCAGCATTATTCAGTGTCTGGGATGTGGCAGACACTGTTCAGCACTGGAGATACAACAGTGAAAATAAAGCTCATTGGTTTCATGAGGTTTGCATCCTAGAGGAGAGAAAAGATGATTATCATTTAAATTAGATGTCCAGAAAAAGCCTTTGAAGGTAACCTTTTGATACTTTGAAAAGTTATGAGAAAACATGAAAATAATATATATGAGGCCAAAGGTGTCAGGTATTGTTTTTGGAAATGTACTAAACATTTCAGTCTGACTAAAAGAAATAGCTAAATGAGAAATAAAAACTTATTTTTTAAAAAGACAGATATTGGCCAGGTGCAGTGGCTCACACCTGTAATCCCAACACTTTGGGAAGTGGAGGCAGGTGGATCGCTTGAGGTCAGGAGTTTGACACCAGCCTAGCTAACATGGCAAAACCCTATCTCTACCAAAAATACAAAATTAGCCAGGCATGGTGGCAGGCACCTGTAATGCCAGCTACTCAGGAGGCTGAGGCAGAAGAATCACTTGAACCCAGAAGGTGGAGGTTGTAGTGAGCCAAGATCACACCACTGCACTGCAGCCTGGGCAACAGAGTAAAACTCCATCTCAAAATAAATAAGTTAATTAATTAATTAATTAAAATTTAAAAAGACATATTTTAGTTTTGGACATGTTCAATTGAGTGTACATCATGATACCAGAAAAAGTGGAACACATAACCAGAAATAAGAGGGAGTTACATTCTGTTTGTTTTTATCTAGCTATATCATAGTGAGGATGAACACTACTAATATGTCAGCACCTATTCAGTATTAAATAATGATGAGACCATGCCAGGAATCAGGCTAGGTGCTTCACATCCGTTATTTCAAACATATTGATGGATCTGTGTATTCAATGCATTTTACCTAGCCCCTTTCCTTAAATGCCCATTGATAAAACATTAAAAACGGTGAAATACACAAAAGTGCTGGATGCAAGGAGCAGCACAAGTCATAGCTCTAAAAACTGAACAACTTTTTCAAGATATTATAAACAAGATAGGCTTGAAGGATAGTCCAATCAACCCATGTGTTACTACCTACATGATAAAAGCCCACCTGAGACAGCTCAAAGGACAAATGCGCCATTAGACTTACACTTATAAGCAGTGGCAGGGGTCCTGGGGAGTAGAAAGAGGTCGAAGAGTAAAATAATAAAGGGTAATTCTGATCATGAATTATTTGAGGAAGAATGGGCTTCCGTTTTGATGATGACTATGATGACATTGATGATAATGAGTACAAAGTGAAAAAATAAACACCAACTGTCTCTATAAGGTATTTCAGAAAGTAAACAACTGTTTTTAAACAAAATTTTTAATCTTAGAAACAAAATATGGTTTGTTTGCATGCCATTAGAAGAATACCAAATAGCATCATTGTCATTTTTAAGGAACCAAACCATTGATCTTAGGTCACCAAACTACTCTCCCTGTTAGAATGGTACAATTATACAAAGAGATGGTAATATAAAAGCAATTCAAGCACAGAAGTGGATATCACTATGGAACTCTCCAGCTAGTGCTCCAACTAGGGTCTCAATCTGGATGATGTACCATTCTTACTAGCAAAAGACATCCTGGCTTCTGGCTGGGCAAAAAATTCCAAATCGACCCTGACCTCCTTATCTGCTCCTGGAAGATTTAATAAATCCCAATATCATCAGAGCTGAAAGAGACCTTAACATACAATATTAGAAACATATAACTTTCCCTTTAAAGTTCTGTGAAAACTGAAAAAATACAGGACAAATGAAAAGATTCAGCACTTCAAGAAGGAGGAAAGAACAGGAGGAAAAGCATATGAGTGATTGAAGAAACAAATTATTTCTAGAACAGAAGAAAAAATAAATTTCTAGAAAACTTAAAACTTTCTACATGTAAGAAACTACTTAAAGGGTAATACCTGAGTTCAGAAAAATATTGTCTTCACCACTAAACCCATATGTGGTCTTTGCATAATATGGGTTTAGTTTCAACATGATTCTCAAATTTTTCAGTGGATTCTTCTTTAGGACTCTGCAATGAATTTTCGTGGTGCTCAAAGGGCTCTCTGGATCTCTGGGCTTTTTAAGATTTTGCTAAGTCTCTATTGATCATCTTGTGCCTGGGAAGATACAGTGAGTTACTCTTGAGGAAAGCAGCTTTACATCAAGTGCCATACAATTCATCTAACTTCCTGAAAGCACTTTCAGTCCAAATGCAGAAACATCCCACATGCCCACCAGGAGCAAGTTTCAAAATGTTCGGTTTGCTTACATTAAGCAGAGTAATTCCAGGGATGTTTCTGAAGGCCTTGATGATACCACTATCCTCATTATTGATGATGCAGAGGCCCCGGCCCTGGATATGCGGCCATTTCTCATTTTGCCCTCCCTAGCTCTCATTCACTGAAAGGCATAGACCTTTTCAATATCTTTCCAGGCTTTAAGTTTCTTAAGAAGCAGAACTGTTTCCTCAGTCTTCTTGTAGCCTTCAACTTTATCTTCAACTACCACAGGAAGTTCAGGAACTTCCTCAATACAACGACCCTTAGACGTGACCAGTGCTGGTATGTCTGCCACAGCCGGGGCAGAACAGATGGCATATCGTTTTCAGGTTGTGTTCACTCTATAATGCCAATGGTTCCAGGTTTTAGTTGGTGCCAACATTCGGCCTCCACGACACGTTTCCAAAAGCACCCTGGCCAGAAAGGTGAGTCCCACCACCTCGAACTCTGGGAATTCAAGCCACAGCTCTGCCAGTACCCCAAGACTCACCACCGGTTAGATGACCTGCTAATTCACTGACACCATAGGACTGTCTGTTGTTTTTGCACAAGTTGGTG